CTATCAATTTCTGGCAAGAGATTCTCATATCTTTGTAGAACTGTCCTGTGATACTCCATCTGAGTGACGACTAATTCCTTGTAAATACTCGCAATTTCAGTCTGCTCGGAGTACAAAGTGTATATATCAGCAAAAATGCTGTCCTAAAAAAACTGTAGCAAAATGAGCAGTTATAAAAAAATGGCTACTTACTGACTTCCAGCCAAAATTTAAGAAAAAAAAAGAAAAAAAAGAACGAACTAGCCTTATAATTGTCCAGCTTCGATTGTTTCTCATCATAATCCTCTTGAAGTTCCAGCGTTTTAGACTCGTCATGATTCGCATCTTTCCGTTTCCTCGCAATTTCTACATCAGTAGCTGCCTTATTAATCTTATCTCTCATTTTCGAAATAGCTTTATCTTCCTCAACGTACTTGGCAAGTGCTTCAAGAATGCTGAATAAGATTTAGAGTTCAACAAAATAGAAACCCAAGAACAAAAAAGTCGATTAAGAATTTAAATTTATACAGCAAATTCCCACGAATTTTTGATTGTCAATATATCTTCATCCTTAAACGACCAAAAGGAACACTTCTTGATCTCTTATTTGCAATCCACATAAAATTCCATTACAACCCAACAATCATATTTACCTCTTCCCACTAGGCATTGATTACAAATGAAACATCAAGTTTGTGGCTCATAAGAAGAGAAAAAAATTGAGCAATACGGGAGAAAAAAGTACATGAAGTAGCTAACAATGACCCCTTCGGAGTTCGAAAGAGTCAGAATCACAAAAGAGCACTTTTAACTTTATTGTTACCTATCAACAATTATCAGAATAGGGAGAAGAACTGGCTGTCATAATCATGAAGCTGTAAACTGCTGAACACTTTCTGAAATACCCATACCGACACAAAAAGTGAAAAATTCCCTTGCTGATAACAGAGAATAAAATAAACGAAAAAAGAAAGGCTCATTACTTTAAACCAGCGGTTTAACTCCGCATATAAAGATAATTTATTTTACAGTCACATATCTTCACCAGCAATAACAAAAATTTCATTCAGGAAAGAAGCGACGCTAAAAAAGCAAAAAAAATTTTTTTTCCGAGTACCTCTACTTTGCTTCAACAATTGACCGAAACTCGATCAAAAGTTAATTAATTAATTAATTAAAAAAAAAAAAACAGTTCTCATCCTTCCGCCATCTCCACTTCGGAGACAAAAACATAGATTTCTCAATAAAAAACAAGCTCTTATTCAGGGGTAGACGCTCATCAAGACTCAAAGCCTCTTTACAAGTTAATTGACTGTGCATTATTAATAAGCTAAGTTTTCCGTTTTCCCTGCTTTAATCGGTCATTAGACCGAAATACAGATATAATTACAGATAAAGTAAAAAGCAGAAAAAAAAGCAACAGATAAAATAGATATATACAGCAAGAAACATACAAAGAGAAGCAATGTTTTCGACAGTTCCTCTACGATCCAGCTCTAAGACACTACAGAAAATAAATTTTAAATACATTTCATTGCCTTGTACGGCTTTCAGTGACTAGCTGACAAACTTTCGACGGCAAAGTATAGAGAGGAATGAAACAGTAAAAAACCTACTTCTTCTCAATATGTTGATCAGTAAGAACTCTTTCAATAACAATTGCGTCTATCGTTTCCGAAATTTGTTTCATGACTTCCGCAAGAACGGGTTTTTCATTTTTTTCAAAAGCATTTGCAAATTCCGCGGCATCCGAAGAAAGCTGCTGAACAAGACCAAAATCATCCAACCGACGCTGCAAGGTGATACTTTTAGTTAGATTACTTGCTTCGGTCTAATTTTAAATCTCTTACATACACCTCCAACCCGAATAGATTCATTTCAACCGCAAACCAGAAAAATGAAAATTTTTAGCGTAAGATCAAATTAAACAACCTTTGATAATACAATTAAACGTTTACGTACTACAGTGGCCATAATTTCAGCACTGTTGGGGAAGAATTTTTTTCTGGTTTAATTTCTCGTAGAAAATACCTACGTCATTCTTTTCTTTTTTCATTTTCCATCACTTTTAAATTACATTCTTATAAATCATCTAAAAAGTAAATATTGCATCCAAGTATAAAATTACCATATTCAAACGTTAAATACCAAAACAGCAAAGAGTTAAATCTTAAGGACAGATGTAAAACTTAATACGCTGATACAGGAATGACCTGACATTTTGTTAAAACTTTTACTCAGCTACCTTCTCCAACCTACTCCTCATCGAATCTATCAACCGCCTAAACTTGTCTTTTGGTACACTTCTTCAAACTTCTTGAATTACTGTTACCGATTCTCGAATATTCTTTAATTCCTTAACCCTAATTTAAAATCGCAAACCTTGTGATGAAACTTCTATTAGGTTTTAGTCCAGAGACTGCTGCGGCCAACTAAGAACTTCAAGTTTGTTGTCCCTCATCCATTTGATAGGAAGGGTTGAGTAGAATTTTATGTCGTTGTTGTGTAGCAAAATTCAGTTTCCGGGAAATGTTTTCGCTGCATATAATATGAATGACATCGCTTAAGATCCTGACAAAACTACGCGAATTGAAGATTTTCTCGATCTGTAAAAATGCTTCTGGACTGTGCCACCTTGCGGATTCTAAAACCATAACTGATTCACCACCGGGGTTCAAGGTCCACTGAATGCAACTCAAATTAAACTCCCCATTTATTCTCCTTCTAACAGAAATCCTCACATTAAACTTACTCTCATTATTGTAGACCAATAGTTGCCAATCCGTATCTGTTCAACGAATACGTCCCTTGGCAAAATGCTACCAAAGTTTTCGGTTCTAAGTCAAGACAAGTAATTTCTTCCTCGCAACCTGCTCGTGCAGGTAACTGAGCATGGTCTTAAAACTAATGCTGTTACAATCCCAGCCCTCCACTACCATTTGAATGGCTAAACCAGTCAACCACTGCATAGCTGCTGGCCGTTTCTGTACACGCCGATGTTTCCTTAACTGCGTTCACTTTGGCCTGATACTTCGATTGCAGGCAGACTTCAGACAACTGAGATACCTTGCAATAGCCAAAAGACTTAGACTTTAATTTCTTAACCTGGCAAATAACGGTTGTTCAGACGAGTTCAAATTTAACTGCCGACCCATACCCATAACGCAGTGAAAAACATACTGCTAAGTAAAATAAGTATAGAAACAAAAAAGCAAAAGATAAATCTCAATATTTTAGTTTTTTCAATAAAAGATTAAATACAGTTGAACTGTTGGAGCTACTTACTAAAAGTATTTCTGAATTTGGTTTTCTCTGCTCGTAACTCTCACACGGTGAAGAGCATTGCATCAGAAAACTTCTTCAGTTACGTAATTTATAGTCTTCAGTAGCATACTGTAAAACTGTATCTCTTTCCGTAAAAAACTCAAAAAGGTTATAGCTAATTACTTTTCATAGTCCATCCGATTGTACCATCAGTGCTAAAATTATGGTCACCACTGTACAAAAGTAACTTCTGTAAAATCGGTGTCCTACTATAGCACCTTGCGCTTATCAAGTGAATCGTCTTTGCTACCACTACGAATGCAACTTTGTAAATTCTGACGAGTGCCTTTAATAGCGCTTATCATCTTTTGGTTTTTCTGTTCAAAAGGACCAATACTTTCTAACTCATTTCTTCGCTCTGACCTGTAAAAAAAATGAGTGTTTAGCCAATAACGATTGATAACAATAAACGAAATAAGTGTTGAAAGTTGATAAAACATCAGCCAGTGTTGCGGCGGTGAAAATGAGTTCGCCCGAAAACGTCCACATAGATTTGGTATATTGTTTCATGAATAACTTTAAAAGAAACCTTTGTGCAAATACTACACAAACAGTCATAAAAATTAGATAATAACCTAAATGTAATGGTTGTTTTCTACAGTCGTTAAAACTCACTGACTGTGAGGCCGCTGTGTTTTCAGAAAAATGATGCATTTATTTTAAAAAATTCATAGCAGAAAAGACTTACTGCGAAATAAATTACTGAAAGCTCAGTACCACCTTACAGTAAAAAAGAAACTGCCATAAATAAAAAATAAGGACATCCCACAAAAACACTTACAGTAGGTTTTCTTTCATACGCCGAGCTCCGCGAGTCAATCCTTCTTTCATTTTATCCATAGTTTAAGTTTCCAGAAGTATGGCGCATATATCTGCAGCCTAAATAGTCTGTTTTTACAAGCATACCATAATGCATCATTGATAATATTATAAATATCGTGTAGAGGCGTAAAATAATTGTTACAACACTGTCAAAACTTTCTATAGCATTGTTGACAAAATATGTTTGAAAAAGATGGAAGAACTGAATATTAGAAAACTGCGACAAATACAGCATAAAAAGTACTTCCGACGGCTAAAAAGTGAACCATTTTAAGAAGCTCAATACCAGAAGCAAAATTTAGAGTGAGACTTTCTATAAAGAAAAATAAATTGAACTTCCTTTATTACCTGTAGGAGTGTGACTAAAAAAAATCCAAATGAAAATTCTTAAACCAATCGAAAAGTCCTGCAGTTCAACGCCATAAAATGATTCAATTATGCGCGGCTTAAAACTATACACAAATCATTGTTTTACTCAATTAGACATAAGAAAATATTAATTCAAATGAAATGGTAAACAATTCACCTCAACACAAAAAAACTAAAAACAAAAAAAGAAAAAAAAAAAAAAAACGAACAAAAAAGAAACAACTTTCTTTCAGCAAACGACGCAGTCGTCAGTTTAAAAATTAAAACAGTAATCGTTAAAGATTAATGGAATGACGGACGAAAAAAGTTAAAAAATGTGAACAGTAAAGTGGAGACACGTATAAATTATGGTTTATACACCACGCAACCAAACAAACAAGTTGAAACGCTTTGTTGGACTGTTGATACACACCGTCAGCAAAGCTGCCTTTACTGGCACAGGGAAAAAAACGATAACGAGCTTTTTTTTTGGTTCCAAATTAATGCCGTACACTGCCGGCCGTTATGAATCAGCACTTCGGCAGATGCCAAGAGTTTGAAAGGCAGGACCAAAAAAAAGTTTGGCGACAGCAAAACAAAAAAAAATATTGGAAAATGGAGTAGCATTGGAGATAAACAGTACATACTAATCTATAGGCAAAACACGTCGACCAGGACACAGAGATCAATCAGTCCTTCCGCAGCATTATTCTGCAAAATTATTGGCTAATGCTTTTGAGCTAAATAGAACTCTAACCTACAGGAATTTTTTCTCAAAATAATCTTTTTTAACACCAAAAAGGAAAAATTGTTCATAAAAAAAGTTGTGAAAAGCTACGATCTTTTTTTACACACAGCCTGCTTTTCTTTTAATAGAAGCAGAACCTGGTCCGCTCGTCTTAAACTAGAAACTTCATTAAGGGTAGCAAAGAGCGAAAAAAAAAAATAAAACAAAACAAAGTGTTAATATTAAATGGTAAATGGATGGGAATGCAACTGAGGGTTAATTGAAATGAAAAAAAAAAAAAAAACACTGAACAATAAATCTTTTGATTCTCATGCATTTTTCATAGGGTTTTTTCTTCAGTATTTTCCTGCAAAAACTACCGTCAAATATAAAGTTTTTTTGGTCACATAAGAAAAAATTTTTTCGTTTGTTTTTCAAGTAATCGTCTAAGCATTGAATGAGAACAACCATGAAATAATACAGATTGTAGTCAAATGCGACTAACCAACAAAAAACAAAGTCAAAAAAAATAGTCGTCTTTGAATTTTCCAAAAATCGAATATATAGGAGATAAAACGATGAATAGAATGGGAACGATAAAACTAAATTTCATTCTCTTTTCACAAAGTTCTTCATTATGATAACACATCAAAGGTTTTCAGCTGAAGCAAAAATAAAACTGATTTGCAAGCAAGTTAAAAATCAATAAGGTGGTCATAAAAAGGCACATATACACAGCCCGGAAACACACACAAATGTTAATGTCTAGCGACAAAAAAATAAAAATAAATATGCAAAAGTTAAAACTAC